CTATGCACAGTCCGGCGTAATCGTATTTTATGAACACCTTTAACGAAATTCGAGCGGACTTGAGAGGTAGGGCAGGTGCCCTGAACAGGGCCGCACTCGTACCTACTAAATTTTACTATTAAAGTAATTTACCTATTTGAGAAATTAGTTTGTAACTTTATTCGTTTGTAAAATTGCAACAAAATCAATCAACCTTTGATTCGATGTTTTAACATTTTTTTTTATTTTAGAACATAAAAAGCATTTATGGTTGATTTACGCGTGATTAGATTATTGTGTGCACAGATTTACTTTAATTGTCTTTAATTTTTAGATAGATGTGTCGAACGGAAAAATAATATACAGGGTGAAAACGCCAAATGAAAAAAAAATCATTATTTCGGTTACTGTACATATTTATAGAAAATACCGAAACACGACAAATTTTAATTAAAATTTGACATTCCTTAACGTCAAAATTTGAACCCTATCTTCAACCCCCTCCGAAGAACAGTTACAACCCCTATTTTTGAAATGGGAAGTGTAACAAAAATGATTGTTTTTCAGTTTGTTTTAAAAATTAACATTAAAAAACATTAAATCTTATTTGCCGTTTTAGCCTAGTATAAAACTAGTTTATTTAAAAGGCCTTAGCAAATCAGTTTGTAACTATAACAGCGTGTGAGTATAGTTGTCAGTGTTACAATATTTGTTTGAATTTCGTTAATTGCAATTAAGAAAAATGGTTAGATTATCAACACAAATGCATAAAATAACAGTTTTGGTGAAGAGATTCACCAGAAATTTATATCGTCTTACAGGAACCATTGATGGGAATCAAGCTAGCACCCCCACCTCGACTAAATTGAAAAAAAAGTAGCCTATAATTAAGAGCTAATTAAAGGCTAATTTGTACCACAAAAATTAAAATTTGTACCACCGCGATATATCGAGAAAAACGGCATTGAAAATGGGGGGTGCTAGCTTGAGTTCAAGGCAGCACCCCCACTTTGTCCGAATTTAAAATCAAATGGATCAAAATATAGGGGATATTAAAGGCTAATTTGTACCACAAAAAGTTTTTCTATATTTTCATTATTAACGTCAAAAAATTAAATAGAAAGCTATGATTGTCGCTGCTCCATAATCTTAGCACCCCCACTTTCGTCAAATCAAAAAGTGAATATACAACATTATGCAACTAATTAAAGGCAAATTTGTACCACATAAGAAATTTTTATAATTTTTAATGTAAATCCGCAAATTAAGTTTAAAACGATTCCTTGAAGAGACATGTGTGTGACGTATGAATGTAAAAAATAATGTAATTGTAAAAGTGAATATACAACATTTTACAACTAATTAAAGGCAAATTTGTACCACTTAAGAAATTTTGATAATTTTTAAAGTAAAGCCGCAAATTAAGTTTAAAACAATTCCTTGAAGAGACATGTGTGTGACGTATGAATGTAAAAAATAATGCAATTGTAAAAGTGAATATACAACATTATGCAACTAATTAAAGGCAAATTTGTACCACATAAGAAATTTTTATAATTTTCAATGTAAATCCGCAAATTAAGTTTAAAACAATTCCTTGAAGAGCCATATGTGTGACGTATGAATGTAAAAAATAATGTAATTGTAAAAATGAATATGCAACATTTTACAACTAATTACACAAGAAATACAATACAACAAGAAATTTTATGTCCTTGACAAAACATTTTGTGTTTGGGTTGTCCCACCAACTATTCTGCAACAACGACTTGATAGTTTCTACCCACTATAAAAACGTGCCGGTCTTAAAACGTTACTTTTACCCCATATTGTATTATATTTATAAAACTGAAAAAGTATTATTTTAAAATAATCGAAGTATATTATGTTCATATTTTTTTTGTTTAATTTGTGTTTTCCATTTAGGATTCATACTTATTTTTTTTTGTTAAAATAAATTAAATATACCTACAATTTCAGAATTTTTACTAACCCGGCTCCTTTAATAAATCACCCTTGTCGTCATTACATTAATATGTCACACACAAACAATACCCTCTTCAAGCTATCGTTTTAAACTTAATTTGCGCCTTTACATTAAAAATGATAAAAATTTCTTATGTGGTACAAATTTACCTTAAATTAGTTGTAAAATGTTGTATATTCACTTTTACAATTACATTATTTTTTACATTCATACGTCACACATATGGCTCTTCAAGGAATTGTTTTAAACTTAATTTGCGGCTTTACTTTAGAAATTATCAAAATTTCTTAAGTGGTACAAATTTGCCTTTAATTAGTTGTAAAATGTTGTATATTCACTTTTACAATTACATTATTTTTTACATTCATACGTCACACACATGTCTCTTCAAGGAATCGTTTTAAACTTAATTTGCGGATTTACATTAAAAATTATAAAAATTTCTTATGTGGTACAAATTTGCCTTTAATTAGTTGCATAATGTTGTATATTCACTTTTACAATTACATTATTTTTTACATTCATACGTCACACACATGTCTCTTCAAGGAATCGTTTTAAACTTAATTTGCGGATTTACATTAAAAATTATAAAAATTTCTTATGTGGTACAAATTTGCCTTTAATTAGTTGCATAATGTTGTATATTCACTTTTTGATTTGACGAAAGTGGGGGTGCTAAGATTATGGAGCAGCGACAATCATAGCTTTCTATTTAATTTTTTGACGTTAATAATGAAAATATAGAAAAACTTTTTGTGGTACAAATTAGCCTTTAATATCCCCTATATTTTGATCCATTTGATTTTAAATTCGGACAAAGTGGGGGTGCTGCCTTGAACTCAAGCTAGCACCCCCCATTTTCAATGCCGTTTTTCTCGATATATCGCGGTGGTACAAATTTTAATTTTTGTGGTACAAATTAGCCTTTAATTAGCTCTTAATTATAGGCTACTTTTTTTTTAATTTAGTCGAGGTGGGGGTGCTAGCTTGATTCACATGAACCATTGGGTATTACATACGGAGTGTATTATATCGAATTTAAGCCATGTTTCTGATTATTTTATTTTTGTGTTAATTTTTGAAATAAACTTGAAAACAATAACAATTTTTGATAGAGAATAAAGAGACCTTTCAAACGATGTAGAACCTATCACAAACCTATAGGTAGGTACTCAAAAAAATCGGTGTTGTAACTTCCGTCGAAAGAGGTTGAAGGTAGGGATCAAAATTTGACGTTGAAGAATGTCAATTTATAATTAAAATTTGATGTACTTCGGAATTTTCTATAAATATGTACATGTAGGATATAGTAACCGAAATAATAAATTTATTCCATTTGACGTTTCCACCATCTATAGTGAAATAAAAAATATGTACCTACCTACTACGCAATAATAATGATGAAAAAGCTTGTAATAGTCGTATAGGTGGGAATCGACCTGATAATCGTTAATTACTTATTTTTTTAAGTATCCATTAAACATGATCACTCGTTAGATACTTATTTCTTTAAATAATGTTTCCAATTTTTCCAATTTTTATTTGAATTGTTTAAAATTCTTCGGTTTATTTCAATCAGAAATAATACCTAAGCATTTTCTCAAAAATTTGGAAATTATTTGCTATCGAATTATTTAATTAAATTCAATTAATAGAATTTACAATCCCTTCTGGCAGGCATTTAATTGATGTAAATAATTATGTATTAAATTTTAGCTTTAATAATATAAGTGTAAGTGTAAGGTCACTTAAGCATTATTAAATTCAATTATTTCAATTAATAAAATTATTGTATTTACCTCTTAATCAATCATGTAGGATAATGTGGTATAAAAAATTTACTATATTATTACTATCTGTACAAGAAATTGAACAAAACTTATCTAGAAGAAATAAATTTATTCACTTGCTCTATTAATAATTAATATCAATAAAATTAAACAATAGTGCATTATATTATAATAATTATAAATGAATTGATTTTGCGAAGCAAATTTAGTTAATATCTGTAATAATATCCGTATATTAACACAAACAATAGTATGTTTTTGTATACATTTTTAGATTACCGACGGCTTACCCAACATAAATATACCTAATATGGACTGGAAAATTGGAATTTTACCTAACTTTAGGTGTATATTTAGATAATTGCTCGTGTAACTGTTCACAAAAATAGGTTCTAAACTTCAATAATTTTCTTTAAAACCTGTTAAAAAAAACGAAAAATACACACGTGTAAAAGAATAGAAAAATAGGACGAAGTTTAGGTATGGGCAAAAATTCAAGGTTAAAAACTCGAACAATTCCAACAAACGACAAAAGCATTTTAATTATTTTTGTGCGTATAGATAATCTATGAATTTATCAATTATTACCTATTAGTTAAAAATATTAGTAAAAAAATAAATTCTATATCATCTTTTGTATCTATGCAGGTAGATAAAGTGAATATAAGAAAATTTGTTTAATTTTTAGATCTTTTTATGTATTACCACAGTATTACTTTGAATAATAACATGCTGTATTTTATATAAAAAAGACTACCTATACGTGGCAATTGAAAAAAAAAATGAAGTTTTAATATTTTAAAATCCCTGAATATGTCTCTATAAATAGGTACATAGACCTACATGTCATTTTTTTGGACTAGTTCATGGGAATTTTAAATCACTGAATATTCTTGGTATAATATTAATTTTGAGTTTACAAAGACGCCTCTGAATTTTGGAGGCAATTGAACAACCTGTATACATATTTTCCTGGACGCACTGTATATATGACTATATAAATAAAAGCATAGGTAGGTAATTCCAGTTTCAATAATTAAACTAACAAGGTAAAGACGGAAATAGAATATTGTTTAGATATCATACAAGTGTACATAATGTAATATAATGCATAATAATTGGATGTGACTAAGGAGGATGGTATACTTAATATAATGTAATGAAGATAAAATTATTTCATGTGAAAATTTGGTAAACAAATAAATAAATAGGTATTCATATGTATGTATAAAGAAACTTACATGAATAATTTCTTATAATTCTCCAACCACAAAACACCACAATAGTTTGAAAATGTAAAACACCAACTAAAAGTTCGCTCGAATATCGAACAAAACCTGCTTCCGACACTTTTTTCCAGCGACTTTTTCCAGCAGTTTTTTCCTCCACCTTATCGCTCCGTCTACAAAAACCAACAACATATACACACAAAAACGTGCACTGTAAAACGTTTAAAAATCCTTCATCTCCAGCCGCCAATCGAATCGACGCCGCCGCCTGATTGGCGCGTCGGGGGCGGTGCGCGCCGCCGCCCGAATTCAAATTTCCCAAACCGACGCGAAAAACGCGCGCCAAACCCGCGCCAAAACCATATCTATCTGCTAACGAATTTTCTCTCGACGCCTGAATATTTCTCTCGTTTTTCCGACTCGACAGCGGCTCGTGCCGGCGGCGAGGTGCGGTTTTTTTGCCGTCGAGAAAACCCGTACGCTACGCGGTGCACACGCTGTTGACTAACGACGAGAGACGGCCGAGAAGCGACTTCGCGACGCTCGCGAGCGCTCGGCGACGCTCGCCGTCCGGTGACGCCCACCGATGTGTGGCTGGAGGGACGCGCGGGTGCGACGGAGGCGAAGGCGCCAGCGCGCGCTTGTTAGACGGAGATCAACACATCGGTGTTTTTTTTTTGTTTGGTTTTTTTATCTTTTCGTTTTTTTTTTTGTTTTCGGTATTTGATTTATTTCGCGTTCCTGCGACGACTTGTTCGTGTACCGAAGGATTGGTATTTGTATAGATAATTTCGATGGAAACAGGAAAAAAGGGTTCGCGGGGTGTATATTTGATTGTAAAGTTGGTAGCGGGTTTGGAAAAAAATGTCGTTTTTTGATAATCCAATTATCTAATGCCCGAGTTCACCAACATGTTGGTAGGTACTTTCTAACTAGGTAATTCCTAAGGTAGGAATTACTTAAATCAAATACTTACCTAAATCGAGTTTCACCAACATTAGAAATCCCTTACTAAGAAATACAAAGGTGAAAATTTGATTTTGACAATTTTTTGAATTTTATTGGTAGCATTGGCTAATTTTAACGTGTAAACGGAATAAGCGGAGATCGAAATTGTATATGTTGAGAGAAAAGAAGAAATGTTCCTAAATGTTCCTAAAAATTCCTAAATGTTTTAGGTAAGCCCAGTGAGCTGTCCTAACTTTAGGCATTTCCTATTACCTTTAGGTATTACTTAGTGCATGGTGAAACGCAATTTGTAGTTAGGAATTCCGGTTTAGGTATTATCTAACTTTAGGAACTGGTTGGTGAAATCGGGCATAAGTGACTGTGACATCTGTAGAATTTGATCTATAATTTTAACTATAGGTACCTTTATAATAGAGACTTTTTAGAATATTAATTGGTAGTTTAATAAAGGTTATAAACAAATTATTAGGGACTTTTATACTATAGGTAATATGCATAGAAGTAATTGCTACAAATATCTCATCTAAAAATAATTACTATTACGTATTACGAATGTGAGTAAGAAGGTATAGTGGAAAATATAAATAGCTACAAGAAAAAAAGACAAAAAATAGTAAATATCCTATCTACAGGGTGTTTCACAACTTATCCGACAAATTTTAACCATATATGCACTGTTATGAAAGAAGTTGATTTCTCAAAATTTCTATGGGGAATCACAGTGACTGCCGATAATTTGAGGCTTCAGAATCAGCAGGAAGAAGGTGTATTTCAATTAGTGCGCCGAAATTGGATTAGATGTACCCAAGTTTGCATTGCAGTAAATGGGAACAATTTTGAACATTTTGTATAAGTAATTGAACTGTTAAACTATTATTTTATTATCTCGATTTCTGTAAGACTTTTATTATACATTTTTTTGGGAAATCAACTTCTTTCATAACAGTGCATCTGTGGTTAAAATTTGTTCCTTATTCATATAATAAGCCTCACTATTTGCTTCATCATCGATTGCAGGTACTCCTCACGATCCACAGGGATCTACACACCAATAGATATTCAAAACTTATTTACTCCATTCTCCCATACTCCATTATTAACTCAATTACTCCTTTCGTTACAATTACAATTACATTATACAATTATATTTCAATTGCTTTGGACACAAAAGTACTTATTTAATATTTTCAATACGTGGAAAGTTTAATTTCGATTGCTGTAAATCCCTAATAAATAATTATTTAAAACTGACACCAAAGCAAAGTAATTGTGAGTGTTATTGTAATTGTAATTACATACGCAAATTTTGTAATTGTAATTGCAACTAATTACAAATTGCCAAAAGTAATTGTAAATGCAATTAATTACATATTATAAAGTAATTTTAACATCACTGGTGACGTGCATTGATATTTGTTTTGCACCGACTGTATACCTATTGAAACCTATTGAATATTATGTATACACCGATTATGTATGTTTGTTTCCGATTGATCCTGATGCCATGACCTACACCAAGTCGAACAATTCCCCATATCGAAAAGCGAAGAGCGAAACAAACAAAAAGGTGCAGTCGCTCGAAATATATGTCCGTTTTTACGACGATGCGAGTGGAGTGCGTTTTTTAGCCCAGCGTTTTTCGTACTGCAGAACTGGCATAAACGCCATCGAGGACGACATAAGAAACCAAAATAGAACGTTTTTGCGCGGCGCTCTCGCTTCCTAACGACTCTCGCTTCTTGCGCCCGATATCTACTTGGGATAGGTCGCATACGCCGATGAAGAGGACTCTTCGGGTTACCGGGAACGGATGGAAGACCCGTTAAGTTTCTATAAGTTACTGGGACTTTTTGGTTGTTGTTAAACTTTTAAGGAAATAGGACAGATACATACACCCTGGATACATCATTATTTGTATACAGAGTTGGGCAAAAGTCCGGAATAAAATTATTATCTTTTGAACCAGTAATTTAAACAAAAAATGCCGAAACACGTAAATTGATTTTATATTGTACGGATTTGTTGCCAATAAAATGATTTTTTTTTTTCTTCAACCCCTTAGTTGCAACCCTACCCAACTTTATTTTTTCAAATGCAAAGGTATGTCGTGTGTAGGGTCATTGAAAAGCCCGTGAAAAATGGAATCTAAAACATACCTTTTTTTTATTTTTTCTTATGTTGTTATTTGGAAATGAGCAAAAAATTTCTTTTAAAAACAAAAAAAGTTACAAATACCTTTTTAGTGCTATCGACGTAGCAATGTTGAAAATGCCCTTCACCATCTATTTGACAGGCTCCCAGGCATTGGTAAAACGTAATATCGATAGCATATCTTTAATTCTGAATGACTTTTTAATAAAAACAGGCGAACCTTTGGTAAAAACAAACTTGTACAAAAATGCAACACCTGTTTTCCTTTTTGAAGTTCACTGATCAACAATGGCTTAGAATTAAACCCATTTTATGTTTTTGTTTTTTCTTAAAACATAAATTTCAACGAATGTTGATGCTAAATTGCCTTATCAGTTTTAAACGGTAAATCAATAAAATTTGGTGTGCTGCCTGACCAGGCTCGCCTGCTTTTAATAAAAGTTCATTCAGAATTAAAGATAGGCTACCGATATTAGGTTTTACCATTGCCTTGGAGCCTGTTAAGTAGAGTAAGCCTTAATTCACACGTCGATACCACTAAAAAAGTATTTGTAACATATTTGTTTTTAAAAGAATTTTTTGCTCATTTCCAAATAACAACATGAGAAAAATAAAAAAAAAGGTATGTTTTAGATTCCATTTTTCACGGGCTTTTCAATGTCCCTACACACGACATACCTTTGCATTTGAAAAAATAAAGTTGGGTAGGGTTGCAACTAAGGGGTTGAAGAAAAAAAAATCATTTTATTGGCAACAAATCCGTCCAATATAAAATCAATTTACGTGTTTCAGCGTTTTTTGTTTAAATTACTGGTTTAACAGAAAATAATTTTATTCCGGACTTTTGCCCAACCCTGTGTAAGTATGTAGTGAATGGAATGAGGGTTAAAAGTATCTATAAAATATAGTCTATTTTTAAGATATTATTTATTTATATATTTATTTTAATTTACTGTATAGTAACAATTGTTCAATACACCATGAATACACTCACCTGTAGGTACAACAGTATACAAGAATAAGAGAAGTATATTTTTTCCTAAATTTTTTTTTTATTTTTCGAAATTTTACCACTTCATAACGCGCTTCAGTTAACACAACGCCCGTTTCGATATGGCCAAAAACTTTCGTCATAGTTATAAAATAACATTCCTGCTATACAGCTAATTTGTCGAATCATCCGGGTCGTTTTGTCACGGCTTTTTTCGCGCCCGTCCGTAAATTTCCATAAAACCGCGGCTTCGGTCGAGCATAGATAATTTCTTCGATTGCTTAATATTCATAAAACTCCAGTTATTTCTTCGGCTGCATGATGATGCGAGACGCGTTCTCACATGCGTTCGCTTTAAACGACTTTATATGTAAAATAATGAAGTTGTAACTGGCTCATAACTTAAACTGCATAAATGTGGTATTTAAGAATTTATCTTAGAGTATTTAGGTATAATGTATTTTGGAGTTTTGAAATGAACAAGTTATACAGGATGGTCAAGAAATCGCGACCCACGGGTATGGGGTTATAGAAACGACAATAGAGATGGCAAAACTGATACAGCCGAAGAAGATATAAAAAAGTTTTTCCTTTTGGCTTTTGGATTTTGGTTTTTGTTAACCTTGAAAGTGAAAAGGACAGTATCTTTCAATAATGTCAAATTGGTGTATAGCTAATTCACGTAATTTTCGTGGATTTGAACTGAACTCCTACTGTGGGATTGGTCACTTTTAATAAACTTCTTTTTTTACTAAAGGAATAACTTTTTCATGTTTTCGGCTGCAGTTTTGGCATCAACATTGTCGTTTAAATAAGGCATTTCCCGGCGGGGCGTGAGTTCTGGGCCACCCTGTATATAATATACAAACGCGAAGGCGAATCAAATATGAACAGGAATTTTCTTTTTAACGCTCACTTAGGTGATGAAGTGAGTTTAACATGACGTCTTAATACATGTATGTTGGGCTCGTTAGAGCCGATTGGCTGTTAGTATACCATAATGTCTATAAGCATGAGGTGTACCTACAGGTCTGTTGAGCAGTTGAGCAACGCATTAATTTTTTACTAAATGTTGGCATCGAGTTACTGCACCTTGCAGTTTTCACTGGAAACATGTGCTTTTAAGGATCCATGTCCACAATTGGCAAAAAAATGGAAAAACCTGATGGAGGGGCAGCAATGCAGTTCAAAAATTCTAAAAAGTCTTCTGCATGCATGTTAGTTCCATGAAATAGTTTTAAATGAAAGTTCTGATGGACTTTTCTAGCTTATATCCTTTCCGGTGTCTAATTGTATATACCAAATCTGATAGTCTAAATGATTGTGGATAGTTCTAAATGTTTCTATGATCGTCCTGAACTAATTC